GGCGATTATTTAAATCGCCGCTTCATTTTACTGTGTCGGGTAGCCTAATCTACATGCCTCTGGCGACAGAGGCATGTAGTCTAGATGTACCCTAATACAGAAACGTGTCTACATCTGCTGCAGGGAGACACCTCTGCCTGCCTCCACCCCTCTCCCGCAGAGTCTACACGGACAGGCATGAACGCAAAGATTAAGGCAAGACTTCACAACACACAGGCCCCATTTAAGTCAGTTCTGCTGATATTAATAAAATGCAACATTTTCCCGATTTCTACCCATGTGACAGCACTTTTCATGAGCAATGACAGTCCAAGAATTTAACTACTAAAACGCATCTCAAGAGAAGATCAGTACACTGACTACGTTTTTGATTTTGGCTCCCACTTGCTGGCCACATATTGATCCCCACAGAAACCCAAACTGCACCACAGGGCACAAACAAACTGGCCGTGGGCAGCATGCGGCCCACGGGCCGTGTGTTGAGCAGTCCTGGATGCTTGGTCCTGCTGTGAGGGCAGGGGACTGGACTTGATGACCTCTCGAGATCCCTTCCAGCTCTAGTGTGCTGTGATTCTATACTGCCTCATGGGGTTAGATGGGGGCTAGTGCCCCCTAGAAGGGACGGATCTCCAGAGCCCATCCATACCTCCGTGAGCCAGCCTGTGCCCCCTGCCATGGGACTGAACCGGAGCCAGCACCCCCTAGAGAGGCCCTGTAGCCTCCTGAGCACCAGTGAAATTTTGGTGCTAGGGCCCTCCCTCAAGTGGATCCCTTGCACAGGGGATCAGGTCAGGCCCTGTTTTCTCCCACATTGTGGGGGGCCAGAGGTGGTGCCTCAAGGCTGGTGTTGCAGTGCAAGGGGAGTGAATTGGCTGGGTCTGAAGCATTCCCCCCACAGGCCTCAGCAAGCCTGAGAAGTGGGGGCAGGAGGTGGCTGCCAGGTATCAGTCTCTGCCCTTTGCTGCCGTTAGTTGGGCTGCACCATGGGCCGGTGGGCAGCTCCCAGGATTGTCTCCTTTGAACTGGGGTGGCTTGATCGCAGCACGAGCTAGACAGGGCATGATTGCTGAAGCCCCCGCACTCTGCGGTTGTTCCCCACATTAATCAGATTGCAGCGAGCAGGGTTATGCTGGGCTGTGCTGCAGGCACAGCTTTGCTACCTGTGTAGACAGCCCCTGAACCACTGGAAACTGAGCTTCTAATCCAGCCTGGTGTGTGACCTCAGGCATGTCACAGCTCCCACTGTGCCTCAGCTGTAAAATGGGAACAATGTGGGCCTCCTCGCTAAAGCCCTCTGAGTGATACCAATGGACAGAGCAAGGGCTGGCAAGGACAAGTCTTGCCTTGGTCATGCGGGCTTGGTACCATTCCAGTGGGTAAGTGGTGCCATCAGTTGCTTGATAGCGCTTTGTGTCCGGATGAAATCAAGTGAGGTGATCCAGTGACAGACGAGTGAGTGGCCGAAAGTCAGTGGGTAGGGAACCGGGTGCCAGGCGGCAGGTCCCTGGCAAATTCAGCATACGGGGAAAGGGGCTCCTCACGCCTCCGGTCCCAGCACTTGCGGGCGGAGTTCACAAATGACAAAGCTGTTTTCCCCATCAGCCAAGCCATCACTTTACTCTGGGTCTTTAACACGTGCTGTCCCTTGCCTTGGCTGGGCACTGCTCCAGGGCGGACCCAGCTCTCCTGGACCAAGAATCACAGAAGTGCCCAAAACGTGGGGTTGGGGGGCACAAGCACCCAGACCCGTCATCCCCCACCCTGCTGTTCTTGCCCAAGGCCCACCCCCCCAAAATGCTCCTGAGCTACCTCTTCCTCCCAAGATCACTACTTACATTAAAGAAGACCATTCCTCCTTGGTGTAGTGGAGAGAACTCTGATTGACCAATAGGGTTGCCAAGTGTCTGGTATTCTACTGAACAGTTGGGTTTTTGGGCCCTCTGTCCGGTAAAAAAATCAGAAAACACCAGACATGTGCAATGTCCAGTATTTTCTGGTTCTCCAGCTGGGCGCCGGACGGAAGCCTGGCAGGGGTTAGGGGAGTGGCTGGGAGATGGGGCGCGATTGGCACTGGGAGCCTCTGGTTGAGTCTGATGCCTTGGGGAGGAGGAGAAGCCCTGTCCCTGCTCCTCAGCGCAGCCGGACTCACTCGCACTTCACCAGGACTATGTGTGGGACTGACGGCGCCCCAGGATCTGCATGTGCCCAGGTCAGTCCCCCCCCCACACACACTTCCCCCGACCCTTCCCGACCAGCTCCGCTGCCCCCAACCCCCTCCCTCCCAACCCTACTTCCTGCCGGCTAGTTCTCCTCCTCCTGATCTCCTCCAGCCAGCCATGATGCTCCTGACCCCCCCGGGACAATTGCGCTGCCCCCCCTCCATCTCCCCTGGCCAGCTGCACTGCCATCAAGTGTGTCCGGTATTTTTTCTAAACCTACCTGGTAAGCCTATTGACCAATAAGAATCTGGTGTTGCAGCCCCCCATAGTGCAATCTATATTTGCTTCTCCCTTGTCAGTATAGCTTTTATTTTGGTGAGTTTTGCACACAGATGCAGGAATGTGGACTTGAGCATCCAAAAGTTCTGCAGGCCACTGCTCATCAGCCCAAACCTCCATTGTTGCAAAAGATTTTTGCCTTTGGGAAGGATGTAAGATGACACAATATAATACACATGGTGAATATTTGTGAGTCAACTTCTACACACAAGCAATGACTATGAACATGGGACACTAGGGGCTGGATTCACAGCCAAGATAAATGCAGCAAAAGGTAATCCTCATTGCTGGATCAAATGCAAAGGAACTGTTGAAAACAGGACAGGAAATCAGTTATACTGGAAGTCACATGACCCAACAAAATAAACTTGTGCTATTAAAAGAAAAAGAAAAAAAAGGTAGAAGTAAAAACTCCTAATTACAAATCAAAGTACAAAAATCATAGCAAGTGCTATAATAGAAACACAGATGGAATTCCTTATACCAATAACAACTACTTACTTAAAATTTTTGGATGAGCATTAGCTATTAAAAAAATAAATAAACAGCACATGCATTGCAAAGTGATAATACAGATAAGTGACAACGTGTTCAGAGTAATAGAAATAACATGTATAAAGTTGCAAAACTACAATTAAAATGGTTTACAAGAAGAGAGTGCAATTCAGAGAATCACATCAGCAGATAAAAACCAAATTGGGAACCGTTATGAGACTTCACGTAGACGTGTAGTGAGTGATAAGAGACTATAATAGAAACACAGATGGAATTCCTTATACCAATAACAACTACTTACTTAAAATTTTTGGATGAGCATTAGCTATTAAAAAAATAAATAAACAGCACATGCATTGCAAAGTGATAATACAGATAAGTGACAACGTGTTCAGAGTAATAGAAATAACATGTATAAAGTTGCAAAACTACAATTAAAATGGTTTACAAGAAGAGAGTGCAATTCAGAGAATCACATCAGCAGATAAAAACCAAATTGGGAACCGTTATGAGACTTCACGTAGACGTGTAGTGAGTGATAAGAGACTCTTTTAACTTCTCAAAATGTGTGACACAGAATTTGAGGGAACGGAGGTCAATTATTTCACTGCACCAAGTCTCCTGTAGCAGTAAAGTAGCACCAGGGACAGAAAGAAGGGAGTTTGGCATCACTACCGGGTTTACAATGGTGCCAATGGCAC